CCTGTCATTCCGCAACGGGGCAAGATATTAGATAGCTCGAGTTCTTTAACAAAGTACTTGTACATGGACCGGCTCAGCCATGTACAAAAATTGCTACCTGAGTTCTTCATTGAAGAATTCAGGGGCGCGGGTAGACCGTCTCTAGCCTACCCAGTGGATGAAAAAGACCACCGTGAAATTAGGCCGTCAAGGCAGGTGTTCACGTTAAACTCTCGACATTCAAACACACAGACGGACATAGCTTAATCAACTCCGCTACCTATAAGGATCCAGAATATATACATATATATATACTTTATGTGGTCGGAAAATTATATTATAGAAATTACAAACGGAATGACAAACTTATATATACCCTTCTCACGAAGGTGAAGGGTATAACAAAACTGTCAAAATTATTGTTTGTCCTTTTTGTTCTGTTTAATTGTGATTTGTGCATGCGAAAAACACCATTTTTAAATTAATTATTTTTTATTTGAATTTTTTATATTATTAAAATATATTTAATTATTTTTTCATACTTTATCGGCGCAACGATTGGGCATCTCGTTTTTACGTTGCGTTGCTGTCAGTCGCAGTTCGTCGCAAAGTATTGTTTAACGTTGTGGATTGAATTCTACATTAAATTTTGATAACAGTCATGTGCAACAAGTCATGCTTTATATTTTTCTATGGCATCATCTGGCTACCGTTTTTCCCCAATTGCCACGTTTTGTTTTTTATTAATGAATTGTATTCCGCCTGCATGGCCTCTTTCGATTTTTCAGAATCTTCCGAGTTTAATGCTTCGTTAACTGAGTTAGGATTTTCAATTATCGAATTTAACACTTCAGGACCACGTAGATCTTACGAGGCCTACCTTTAGCTCCAGTTCTAACGATTTTACACCTTCCTCTTTTTCTTTTATTATCTACAAAAATTGTGGCTTCACTTTCGCTATTGCTGTTTGCACTCACCGGATTATCATCATCAACATCACTTGGCAGAACAATTTCTTCTACATCTTGAACTGCACCATTTACATTTTCAATTTCTGTCTCAGAATCAAAATTATTGTTTACATTTTCTTTAAAGACGTTACAGAATTCTGTAATAACACGAACTTCACCAATCAATTCGCATTGATTGTCTCATCAGATGCTAGAACAATCTCTTGGTTTGATGTTGTAAAGTTTGAAAAGTACTGCTTATTTCTGCATATATGAGATGTTGCGCCGCCGTGTAATACAAAAGCTCTTTCAAACATGACACATTTTCATATAACGAACATGCAAAATCTGTTCTCTCATTATCTCTGCATTGAGATCGAACATGTCCCTTTTAGCCCCGGCGAAAACATTTTATGTTATTAACATTGAAATTAGATTTCTTCTCATGTTGACGTTGGCCACTTTTTATATGACTTGAGCCATGGCATAATAAAGTAAGGTGACTGCAATAAAACAGCTGATTATTTTTTTATTTTTGTGTAGAGTATGCATAATGTCAAAAGTTGTTATTGTTTACATGTTAAGAATGTTATTTGTTTACATTTCTTATGTCATTTTTGACATTAGTCTGATTCCTTTATAAAAACAAAATACAAGTTGTTTTTGTATTGTTGTGGTGATGCAGTCACCTTTCTAAGTGTCCCCTGACTTGAGCTTTGGGTATTATTGTTGTAGCTGTTGTTGAAAAAGTTTTTATTCCTTTTATAATCATTCTTTGTGTTCGCCGCAAATACTGCTTCATTTTGGTTAAGGTTTTTATTATTTTGTCTTAATTCTTCCTCAAATATTTTGGATATTAATTTGTCATACCTGGGTAAATGGTCTCTGCTTTTTATGGCAATTACAAAATTTTCCATTTGGTCAAGCAAAGCACACAAGAGAAATATGAACAACAGATCATCATTTAATACGATTTAAATTTCTTTTAGTTCGTCAATAATAGAACTGAACTCATTTATTTGTGGTGAAAATTTTTGATTGGTGTCAAATCTTAAATCGTTTAAATAAGTTGACTTTTCTTGATGCCGTATCCACGCACTTCTTGCTGTAGTGCAATTTAAAGTAATATTTGCAAGTGCTTTTGAATCATTTATGATCCATTTGGCTGCTTCAGCCTCTTCTTTAGCTTTAGCCGTTAAGCTTTTCTATGCCTAGAACACCGGTTGGCATTCCACAGCCTTGTTTTTTATATTGGATAAAACAATTTAAATCATCAAAACACGCTTCCAAACTTCGTACTTAACCACACAATTTTTTTAATCTGGTTATACGGGACCTTTTTGGAATTTTTCAAATATATTCCAATATATAACGTAGTGGAAGTTAACGTGATTCCAGGTATAACCAAATAAAGTTAAAACCAAAGAATAATAAGAAATTGTGGCTTGTCAGTTGGTACGTAAAGGAGTTGTCATTCGGTACCTAACTCTAAGTATGTATTGGTAGAATTTTTGTATTAGTATTGGAGCTCCAACCACTTTCACCACACTTTACAAACATACATACTTGCATAAAATCGTATATAAAAATTTTAGGAAAAATAAATAACATTTAAATTTCTACATTCGCAGATTTTTTTAATTTATTTTGCCCACATCTAATCAGTAAACATTTAATAAATATATTTTTCGGACTTAAAATCTCTTTTTTTGCAAAAAAAAAAGTTTATTTTAAATAATTTTTTCATTTTCAATACCAAAATATACAACTTTGTTTTGTCAATTTTAATTTCAACACACAAAAATTAATTGTCAAAAAAATTAAAAAAATATGTTTTTAGTTTGTGAAAAATAAAAATATGTATTTCGGATTGTTAAATGCGATAAAATTGTGTAAAAAATTAAATAATAGTTATGTGTTTGTGAAAAAACGTCGTTCAAGTCCTATTATCCCGGTATTTTCGCGAAAAAGTTTTGAAGTATTGTGAGAGAATTGAGTTCTCACAAGTGTGTTGAATTTACACAGAACTCGTCTGTGAAGAGAAGGAAATGTTCTTGTTGTAAAACAATGTCATAGTCCAACTTCTTATTATTCTTTGGTTAAAAGATTGATTTATTAATTCAATAATACAAATTCAGTTTATTAAACATGTTACTCATAGACCAACAATGTTACTTCAAGAATTTACAAAATGAAGCGACAAAATTATTGTTATATTTGACTGTTGTATGCATTTGTGTTGTAAAGTAAGGTTGCATTTTTTCTTAGAGTACATACCCTATCTATAAAAAAATGAATGCCATCCGATTTCTACACAACCAACTTAAGGTTCTATATAGGTTTTTATCGTGCAAAAGATCGTCCGATAGCAGTTATATATCATTTTCTATATATGGCCATAATACAATTTTTTGTAAAAAAAGTTTGTTTTTGTAGTACATGTTGGAATTTTTCAAATATATTCCAATATATAACGTAGTGGAAGTTGACGTGATTCCCGGTATAACCAAATAAGGTTAAACATTGATTTAATAATTCAATAATACAAATTCAGTTTATTAAACATGTTACTCATAGACCAACAATGTTACTTCAAGAATATACAAAATGAAGTGACAAAATTATTGTTATATTTGACTGTTATAAACAAATCAGAGTTGTATGCATTTGGGTTGTAAAGTAAGGTTGCATTTTTTCTTACAATCTCCCCCTCAAATCAAATACATACATTCAAAGAATTTCAAAATTTATGTAAAAAATTACATTTTAAGTTTCGATAAACTACAGCAATATACATGTTTTTGTTTATTTAATATTTTTGTTAATATATGTATCTGCAGAGTTTTCATTTGATGATACATATTTTATATCGATATCCTTATCTTCGAATTTTTGCCTAATGTAGTGCTAACGGATGTCGATGTGTTTGCTTATCTGTTAAACTGTGGGATTTTTAACCATGTATGTATGCTGGACTTTGATTATCACAAAGAATTGGAGTAGGAGATACGACATAATCTTCAAATCCCATTTCACGCAAAAGACATCGATGGAAAATAGTTTCTTTTGTGCCTTGACATAAAGCAATATATTCTGCTTCCATTGGAAAAAGTTATTTCAACTATTGGATTTTTCTTAAGGTATCGAAGAACATTTTGCTGCTACAAAATGTTCGTCGTGTGGATGAGTGTTGAATTGTTATAATTTTGTTACCACGTGCATCAAATCTGGTCTTGTAATTACGGCCAGGTACATCAGGGCTCCAATTAAACTTTGGTAATTTGTTGTATCTAAATTCTCACAATGGTTTTCGCACCACTAGGCCACGGCGTAGCAGCAGGTTTGCAGTTTGACATACCCCACCATTCTAGTAGTTCCTCGGTGTACCGCTTCTGATGAATTGTAATGTCACCTCTTAAACCATCTCGATTGACTTCCATACCCAAGTAAAATGAAATACTGCCTCGATCTACCGCTTTTATGTGTTTGTTTAAAGGCTCAGTTAGTCTGAAAGTTCCGTAGTAACGTACACAGAACCAAAATTTTACCTAAATACTGCAAAATGGGGTGTAAATATGAAGAAATTTTGTTATTATACAGCCAACGAAATTTTAATCCAGATTACAGATTTGTTCGTTAATTTTTTATTTTAGTAAATAGATAATATGATGAAATTTCTTCATATTTACTAATATCGTTTCGTTGTTTGGGGGTGGTAAATATGAAGAAATTTTAGTTAAATTAACTAATATTTTTTATTCATTAGAACTAAGTGAGGTAGTTAATTTGAATATATTTTTTTGAAGAAACTTTTTCAATTTAACTAATCAATTTAGTTCTCATTAATAATATTTTTATTCATAATGAATAATTTTTCTTCATTTTTACTACCACATTTTAGTTAATTTCATTATTTATAAGTTATATAATATTGCCGTTGATAGTAAAAGAAAATGTTTTTGACAAAATAAAACTATAAAAAGCTAAATTATATAAATAAATTAAAAGTTCAAATTTATTATAAGAATTAATATAAATAAGTAAATTAACAATTAAGCAAATATTGTGAAACAGTTTTTAAAGATGTTTTAAGTAATGAGTAAAAAAATACGTTTTTTAAGGTTTTATATCAAATGTGTTGAACATTTTTTTCCTTTATTTATTGCACTTGGGAACATAGGGCTTCTACAAGAAAATTCCAACTTGTTCTATCATTACATAATGTTTTAATTTCTTCAAAAGTTTTATTGATTTGTCCGAGTTCCTTTAGTATTGTTCTGCGCCATGTGATCCTAGGGCGGCCTGGGCGCCTGATCCCCTGGGGGTTCCATTCTAGAGCCACTCGTGTTATGCTATTGGCTGGTTTACGTAGAACATGGTCTATACACTTCCATTTTCGTCTTGCTATTTGCCGTGTAATGGTGTCCTCTTTCGTCAGCATAAGTAAGTCGGTATTTGAGATCCTGTCTGGCCAGAATATTTTACATATTATGCGTAAGCATTTATTTATAAATACTTGCAGTCTCTGTGCTATACTACTTGTCATCTGGGATATTTGTGTTGAGCACCAAGTTTTGTGCCATCCTCTCCTGGGGCTTTATTCCTTTTCAATCTTAAAATGGCGGATTTTATTTCCTCTATGTCCGGAATATCGAACTGTATTTTGTTATTGGATGATTGCGTTACAGGAATTTCCATACCTTCCTCGTCGTCATTGGTCGTAATGTTGCTGACTGTTTCAAAGTGTTGCCTCCATCGCTTAATCTGGTCTTCTGCGTTTGTAAGGAGGTTACCTTCCCTATCCCTCACCACATGGTTGTGGTTCATGTTCTGTTTGCTCAGGCGCCCGATTAGCTGGAGAAGTTCTCGCATGTTGTTTGCCCCTGCTGCAGTTTCGGCTTCACTGGCGATGCTTTGGAAGTATTTCCTTTTGTCCTTCCTAGCTGAGGTTTTAACGGCCTTTGCTATAACCTTATATTGTTCCATAATTGATCGATTATTCATAATGTTTTTCTTCAGGTCATTTCTCTCCTGAATAAGTCTCCAGGTTTCGTTTGATATCCATATTTTCCTTCATTCCTTTTGTTTGCATCCAATTTCCCTCATTGCTATATTATTAAGTTTATTGTATGTTTCGTCCCATGAACTATAAGGTACCGGCTGCAGTACCTTAGGCTAGATTTTGGTCACCCCAGGTATTTTATTTCCCCGGTATCCGACTTATTTTTACAAACAGGTCGAAGGTCCCCAATTCGCCAATGGGAGGGTCCCGATAGAGGATCTAGCAATCCCCCACATAAGACATCAATAATAATTCTTCGTCGAAAGTCTCGTATGATAAATCTTGTACACGTTCTTGTTGACGGTATAAAAAGACGGTTGTAAAAGGTTGACAGTAAAATAAGGTAAAAAAATACCAATACAACGACCATCTGGAAAACAAATAAAATTATATTTTTTTAATTTATATATGGATAAAATATGTGAACTCTTACTTTCACGCACACATTGGCCTCCGGTAGGTTAGTGTTCTAGTCTGTTAGACCGGAGGTGGTGGGTTCGATTCCTACCTATATACTTCATATTTTGGGATAAATGTTTACAACATTGTTCCTTTATGCTATCTGCAAACACGGAGTCAATTTTTAAGGAGAAATTTTCACACACTGTTTTTGGATATAATTGAATTCCTTATCTACCTACAAGAAATAAACAAACATGACATTAAATGTATAAATATGTTGTTCAGTTTTAAAGAATAACTTACTTGTGACCATTTGTTTAATATGTCAGAAGTACATTTCGCATGTGACACAATGTGGGTTCCCTTCCAGATTGCTTGTAGTATGTATGTATGTAGTAATATTCCTAAATAATAAAACAAATATCAGTGCTATATGTATGTATGTATATATATCCTATATATATATATATATATATATATATATATATATATATATATATATATATATATATATATATATATATATATATATATATATATATATATATATATATATATATATATATATATATAAAAACAGACTGTTTGTTTGTTACGCTTTCACGGCAAAACTACTAAATCGATTTACATGAAATTTGGACCGCTAATAGGTCTAACCCCAAAAGGAACAATGGGCTATATAAGATCTTGATCGGATGCCACGCTCCTTTTTACGCCCACTTTTTGTAAAACTATTATTACATCAATTTTGCAATTACTATATGCAAAAACTACTACACCGATTAACCTGAAATTTTGTATACCGATTGGTATAAGCTTTGAAAGAACTATAGGCTATATATAAGCACTTGATCCAATGCCTCGCCCCTTTCTACGCCCACTTTTTATAAAACTATCTTACCCATATCTTATCCTATAATTATATGAAAGAGAAAGTCTGTTTGTTACGCTTTCACGGACAAACTGCTGAACCGCTTTTCATGAAATTTAGAACACTAATAGTTCTATTTTAAAGTCGAAAATCATGATTTGGCTTCACAATTTTTCTTATGCTCACTTTTTCTATATAATTGTTATAGAAAATTTTCATTCGAGACTTAGAGAAAACTACTGAACCGATAGGTCTGATCTCAGGATCAGGATCCTTTTCATACCAACTTTTTGTAAAACACTTATTAAACCAAAATACGTTCAGGCATACAAAAAACTACTGATCCGATTTTCATGAAATCTGTTATTTACATAAAATTTGGCACTTAATGGGTCTAACCTCAGAAGTTAACAAGTTAGAGTGCTATGCCGAATCTTAAATACCCTCCACCAGCAAGCAACTTTTTATTAAAACCCATTTAACTATCTAATTTTTAGATAAATTGACTTCACATAGGAGTACGACCAATTACGGGCCTCTCCAGAAAAATTTCGTAGAGTGATTTATATGTATGTACACAAAACATATTTGTGTCGAATTTTATCAAGATAGCTTTATTTAACAATGAATATGTGAGTTTAAATGATTTTCGGAAGAGAGCCTTATATGGGAGCTATGACCAATAATGAACCGATCCGGGAAAAATTGTTAGAATGACTTATACGTATACAAAACATATTCAAGTTGAATTTTATACCGATAGCTTTATTTATCAATGAAACATATGCGTTTAAATGATTTTCGGAAGTGGACCCTATATGGAAGCTATGACCAATTATGGTCTTATCCGAAAAAAAATTTGTATAGTGATTCATATATAGACGAAACATATTTGTGTCGAATTTTATCAAGATACCTTTATTTGACAATTAAATATGTGCGTTTAAGTGATTTCCAGAAGTGGGCCGTATATGGAAGCTATGACCAATTGTGGACCGACTGAGATCTACGTTGGTTATATGATTTCTATGCATATTATATTTGTATGTACAAAATTTTGTGTTGATACCGATATATTTATTTGTCAATGAAATATGTGTATTTAGGTGATTTTTGGAAGTGGGCCTTACATGGGAGCTAAGACCAATTGTGGACCGACTGATATCTACGTTGGTAGTATGATTTCTATGCATATTATATTTGTATGTACAAAATTTTGTGTTGATACCGATATATTTGAGGGAGTTATTAACGATAAACTTATATCCGGGAATAAAAACCTTTGTATGGGAGCTATGGCAAATATTGGATCAATTGTTATGATTTTGAACATACTTGATCCCTGGCACAAAAAAATAATATGTGACAAAATTTATCTAAACATCTTTGGTAGTTTCTGAGAAAACTACTTAAGAATCTATCACCACAGATGGTGGTGGAGGGTATAAAAAACTCTATATGATATTGATTGGATGATACGCCCATTTTTATGTTCACTTTTTGAATAACAGCTATAACACCAAAATTCTAGGCTAAATATAAAAAAAAAATGAACCGATTTTCAAGAAATTTGGCAAAATACAGTGTTTGAGGAAAAGAATGTTTAATACACCAAATCCGAATAAATACACCCTTACCACTAACTTCGGGCCTGTTGTGATCTTAATGAAGTGCAATGACCTTTTTCCGTCCACTTTTTGTTACATTTATAATGCTAAAGATCATGATATATAATTCTCATAGTATATGAGAATTATTATTTAATTAAATTTTTAATCAAAAATTTATTTTTATATGAAAACTCTAAAATGTTAACTAACTTTACGATTAGGTAAAATTAAAACCTGTATTCAATTGAATTTATTATCTAAAATCGATTTTCATCTTAAGCGTTTTCCACCGGAAAACTGTTTTTATTTCGAAACCTGTAATCTGCTGTATATTCTCAGAAAATAACTATTTTAAAACAGAATCTTTATTAGATCTTAAATGAATGTCTACGATGCCACATTTGTATACAGAATAAAAGCTACTGAAGAAAAACCGCTTCTAAAATAGGGAAAATAATATATTCATATTACATTTTCACAAAAATTCCAATTTTAAATCGGCTGTGGCTTTTATAACACCTAAATCTATCTAGAAAATCATTCATATCTCCCCGAGTTTTATATCAAAAATATAAAATTTAAATTTATTGTTAATCGAGATAACAATAAAAATCTATGATCAGGTAATTACGCCATCAAAAAATTATCTTGATATAAATTCGGTTGCCATTTTTTAAATGCGGCCCAAATCTAAAAAACCATGAAGATATGAATTTGACTACTCATTAGAGTGTCCCGAAAGACAGAACTTTTGCAAATCTTATATAGGTAGACCTCTCAAACGATGCATAGAATGCATTGTTCATATAAAATATGGATAAATTGATCTTTTGATATCTTTTTATACTTTTAGAAAATTATCCACCAAAAATTCTGCACAACTTTTTCTGTATGTAGCGCCGTATTTATTCCAAGCTTTTCAAATCAAATAATGATTTTGAATAACTCCAGCACATATTTTCTATTTACCATTTACAAATTCCGATTTTTTTAATTAGAGGAAGACGTGGATATTTTAATAAGTAAAATTATTACTATTTATTTCTGCTTTGTACATCTAACGATATTTGACCTTTATTTCTTGTCTTGGATGTATTTTTGAGAAACAATGATGAGACAAAAACAGTGGTTTTACTCTTTAATGAACTACTCAAAATTGTTTGTTAAATTAAAAGTTGTCTTGTTTTCTCTGTCAAGATTCAAGGATTCTTCATATTTTCTAGGGCAGAAAAAAACTTAATTTTGTTATTTTTAAAGGAATTTGAAATCTTCTAATGAATTTTTCATAATCGTTTCAGAGTTTCTTCAATAGCCTGTACTTTTTCATATAGAAAGGCGCAATTTACATGAAGACTTTTCAGACGTCTGTTTTTTCCAATTCTCTTTTGAGAATCTTCCAAAAAATCATGAACATTTATACGGTGATTTTTTACGTGCAACTATGCATGTCTTTTTTTGATGTTTAATTGTATAATCCTTTTTAATTACTTATTCGTAATAAAAATAAAATGAAATTTTTAACATAAAAACCATTTAATTTGATTTAAAAAAATTTAATAACACGCTATAGTATTTTTTTAATGCAAATTTTAATGTTTTCATGTAAAAAAAAGACATAATTATTTTTTTACATGAGCATAATATCAACAGTACGAATGAGTTTAAAGAGGAATGTCAAAAACAATCATGAAAATCCCAAATCATGTTTGTTTTCTTACCCCCCATTCTTCTCTACCCCGCTCACCACCAATCATCGACAAACATGAAAACAGACGTCTGGGCAAACATGAAAAAAATCATCATGTAAATTGGGTGAAAGAAAATCCCTTCAAATTTTGCACGGTTAATGGTACGTATTTTTGTAGTTATTAAAATGCCCCGAAGCCTTTTGCTTCTATACTAGGGTTGCCAGATTCCGATTCGCAAAAAGCTGGACATTGGGCTTTAAAAAGCTGGACAAAACGAAAAAAGCTGGACATAAAAAAATACTGAGAAAATGCTAATTTTGGTTTTGTGTAAATAATTTCACAGTGATACACCAAAAAAATGCAGGGGTTCTCATATACCAATTCCGTTTTGTTATAGTCCACAGAGTACGAATATATTTTTAGTTTTCCCCGATCACTTCGTTAACTTAGTTTTTTAGAGCAAAAGATGTGAAAAAGCTCCATTTTTGAAGTTTTAAACTTTAACAAGTAAGAGTGTTATATTCGGCTATGTCGAATCTTATATACCCACCATCAAATCACTGCCATATAAATAAACTTTGATATTTTGAATATTTTATTATTATGTATCGATATTAATGAGAACATCAGGGTAATATTTGAAAGAGGTCCATTAATGGGGCTTTAACTATTGACAGTGCTCTTTCGAATTAAATATGTTAATTTATATAGGGAGTAGGGTTATGTATACACAAATGGACCAATTCTCACAAAAGTCGGTAGGAAGATTTCAGTTCCTTATTTATTTCAAATTTCATAGATCTACTTGTATTTTTAAGCCAGTAATGAGCATTAAAGTCATTTTCTTAAAGGGTTAACATTAATTATGGACCGATCCTCATAAAATATTGGAGAGAGATTTTAGCTTAAAATTAGTTTATGTCGAATTGCATCGAATTTCATTTATGCCAGTAATGAGGGTTTAAGTGATTTTCTGATGGGGACCTTAAATGAAGGGTAGGGTCAATTATGGACCGATCCCCACAAAATTTTGTAGAGAGATGTTAGCTCATACAAAACTATATCGAATTTCATCGCCTTACTCGTTTTTTGAGCGTTAAAGTAATTTTCTCTTAGGAACCTTATATACTTACTTCTGTGAAATTTCATCTCTATATTCGTATTTTTAAGCCAGTAATGAGCGTTAAAGTAATTTTCTGAAGGGGACCTTATATGGGGGGTAGGGTCAATTATGG